GCGCATATGTGTGTGCATGCGTGTGTGTGCGTGTGCGTGTGTGTTTCCCGTTCCTCTTCTCCCTGATCGGCCCCACCCCCACCCCCACAGCGCCGATGGTACGTACGAGGTGTCCGTCTACACCAATGCAGTAGTCCACTCCAATGGCAACATCGAGTGGCTGCCCCTGGCCATCTACAAGAGCGCGTGCAAGATCGAGGTGAAGCACTTCCCCTTTGACCAGCAGAACTGCTCGCTCAAGTTCCGCTCGTGGACGTACGACCACACGGAGATCGACATGGTGCTCATGTCCCCCACGGCCAGCATGGACGACTTCACCCCCAGCGGCGAATGGGACATCGTGGCCCTGCCGGGACGCAGGACGGTGAACCCCTGGGACCCCAGCTACGTGGACATCACCTATGACTTCATCATCAGGCGCAAGCCGCTCTTCTACACCATCAACCTGATCATCCCCTGCGTGCTCATCACCTCGCTGGCCATCCTGGTCTTCTACCTGCCCTCGGACTGTGGCGAGAAGATGACGCTGTGCATCTCGGTGCTGCTGGCTCTCACGTTCTTCCTGCTGCTCATCTCCAAGATCGTGCCCCCCACCTCCCTCGATGTCCCCCTCATCGGCAAGTACCTCTTATTCACCATGGTGCTGGTCACCTTCTCGATTGTCACCACCGTGTGCGTGCTCAACGTCCACCACCGCTCCCCCAGCACGCACACCATGGCCGCCTGGGTCAAGCGCTGCTTCCTGCACAAGCTGCCCACCTTCCTCTTCATGAAACGCCCCGGCCCGGATGACCCCCCAGCCCGGGCCCCCCAGCCCGGCCAGTTATCCCTGAGCAAGCCAGAGGCCCCGGCCAGCCCTTCCCACCTCTATGGGAACGCCATGTACTTTGTGAACCCCACCCTGGCGACCCCCACTTCTCCCATGGGGTCTCACCGGACAGGTGTCCCCAAGGATTTCCGGCCTCGGCGCTCAGGGAGATTCCAGCAAGACGTGCAGGAAGCTTTAGATGGGGTCAACTTCATTGCCCAGCATATGAAGAGCAACGACCAGGACCAGAGTGTAAGTCTATAGTCCAGGCTTCCCTGTCTACCCGCCCATGCCTGGGGGCGGAGTGGGTGAGATCAAGCCACCCGTTTGGCATTTCTAGATTTAGAGATTTAGGATGCACAAAACCCTGGAGAATGGAGTTGATTTGCTTTGGTGTTAGTACTGGAATTTGAACTCAGGGCCCAGACACCCTGATTCCTTTTAAGCTGTTTCCACTCAAGGTTGGTGTACCTACCATTTGAGCCGCAGCTTCATTTCCAGCTTTTTTGGTGGTTCATTGGAAATAAAGATCACACAGGCTTTTCTGCCCAGGCTGGTTTTGAACCTAGATTCTCCGATCTCAGCCATTTGAGTAGCTGGGATAACACGCGTAAGACACCCCCAGCTTCAAATGATGCCTCCGAACAAATAACACGCCTGATAATAATCGAACACGGTGCAGAATGAGGTAGTCACAGACATTCTCTGTGCTCATTTCTAAACTGGACACAAGTTTCATGTTTTCATTTCAACCCAGATCAGATCCTCTTTTGAACAGCTACTTTATTTTTTATTTTTGGATGCCGGTCCTGGGCGCTGTCCCTGAGCTTCTTTTGCTCAAGGCCACACTGCTCTACCACTGGAGCCACAACACCACTTTGGGTGTTTTTATTGGGAGGGAGGGAGTTTTTATTTGGAGATAAGAGTCTCACAATCTTTCCTACTCAGGCTGGCCTCAAACTTCCATCTTCAGATCTCAGCCTCCTGCGTCGGTAGGGATTACAGGCATGCGCTGCTGGTGCCTGCCTGGCTTGGACCGATTCTGAGGGCACAGTGGGGTCTGAGAGCTGGGAGGGAGACGGAGTCTGTAGCTGATGGATAGAGATGCCTTCTCTTATCCTTTCTCGTCTTCTTTCCTCGGCCTGTGTTCTCTGGGGAAGCAAAGCATTCCATTAGTTAGCATGGATGAAGAGGCCGGGCAAGCTCTATATTCACTCTGTGCTAAGAAAATCCAGACCAGCTGACAAATAGAATATAGGGCGTGAATTCTCTTCTGCAACCAGCTGCTCAAGATGGTAGCCTTGCTGGGGGTGGAGAGGGGTGTGTCAGTGGCTCCCGCCTGTCCTAACTATTCAGGAGGCTGAGATCTGAGTATCATGCTTAGAAGCCAGCCCAGGGAGGAGAGTTTGTAAGATTTTTCTCTCCAGTGACCCAGCAAAAACAAAAAAAAACAACAAAACTAGCTCAAGTGGTAGAGCACCAGCCTTGGGTGGAAAAAGCCAAGCAAGACAATGAAGCCTTGAATTTAAGCCCCGGTACTGGCACACGCACACACATATACTCATGTGCGCATGTGCAGACTCATCCACCATTTGGAATTAGGGTCCAAGAAGGCCAGGGAGCGCGGGCAGTCTGCTGGGGCTCAGGGTGAAGCACCCATGGTGTTTGTCTGGGGGTGAGGGAGCTGTTTTGGCTCCTGGGTATCCCAGAGGGGTGACACGCATCATAGGCCGGTGACATCAGCTGCCCTTGCATTTCCAGAGATTCCACAGAGCCCTTCTGGGTTGGGGACAGGGCGGGGGACCTGAGCCTGGACCGTGGCCTCTCTTTGGGGCCTCTTCCGCCCAGTGCCAAGGAGATGAGGGCATCTGGAAGTTGACCAAGGTTTTGCCAACATTGAGACTGTGAACCTGTCATTTCTAACCCGGTCTGGGCCAGGAGTTAGTCTGTTTGTGCCGCAGGTCTATTCATGACAATTCAGAGCCTCGGGCTCTTGCTTGGCTTTTTCTGCTCAAGGCTGGTGCTCTACCACCTGAACCACAACTCCACTTCCAGTTTTCTGCTGGTTCATTGGACCTACGAGTCTCATAGACTTTCCTGCCTGGGCTGGCTTCCAGCCATGATCCTCAGATCTCAGCCTCCTGAGTGGCTGGGATTACAGGCGTGAGCTACGGCACCCAGCAACATCCTTGGTTTTTGAGTAGCAAGACACAGGCAGGCCAATCCCTGGAGGGACAGTTGCACTAGTGACCCCAAAGCTGCTCTGTGTAGTTCAGTTCCTGGGGGTCCTGCCGTGTCTGAGGGGGGCGGGAATGGGAGGGGTCCCCAGCGCTGCACACCTTTAACCAGCCCCTCTGTCTGCCCGCAGGTCGTGGAGGACTGGAAGTTCGTGGCCATGGTGGTGGACCGGCTGTTCCTGTGGGTTTTTGTGTTCGTGTGCGTCCTGGGCACCGTGGGGCTCTTCCTGCCCCCCCTCTTCCAGACCCACACCCCTTCCAAAGTCCCCTAGACCACTCCACAGGGGACCCCTGGGTCATGGGGGGTGGGCAAATGGCTGCTTCCTTCCTGGCCACACGGGGTAATTCCCATCAAAGCAGCCAGAGGCACAAGAGGAACAGAGAGAAGGATCCTAAACTGCCTTCTGGAAAGTTCCAGCAGGAGCAAGGGGGGTGGGAGGGGGGCACTCAGGCTTCCTCCCTGGTCCAGGCTCTTGGGGTCAGGTAAACACCAATGACCCCATGCCCATGTTCAGGCCTGCACCCCCCCACCCCGTCCATCTCCCACCACGCCCCCCTATACCCTGAGATCCCTGGCCATCTGTCTGTCCCTCACACACGTTTTTTCCAGCTCAGAATCTTTGCTGTTTGTCCAACATTCCCCAAGCCCTCTGCTGTCCCAAGTTCTTCCCCGGGCTTCAACCATCATGGATTAGCTCCCATGATCCTCGGCGCCAGTACCACCTCCTGCAAGAAGCCCTCCGTGATTACTCATTCCAACACAGTCCTCTGTGACGTCACCATGTTCCTCCGGCTGTGTATCAGCCACCGTCACCCACTAGAGTGTGTGTGCCACAAGGACGGGGCGCTGCTCCTTCCTTATTGCTCTAGGGACTGAACACAGCACAAGCAGGTGCAGAATAAATATTTCCCAAATGAATGAGTGACTTGCGCTCCTCCTTCTCTCCTTCAAGACTTCACAGCTCAGGGGTCACCTGATTCAGGCCTGTCTCCCTCACACTGTGCCAGGCTGGGGACTTGAACTCAGGGCCTAGGTGCTGTCCTTGAGCTTTTATCCTGCTTTTTGGTGGGTCATTGGGGATGAGTCCACAGCCTGTTCACACACACACACACACACACACACACACAGGCTTTGAGCCAGAATCCACAGATCTCAGTCTCCTGAGTAGCTAAGATTGCAGGTTCAACCCACTCTCCCCAACCTATAAGTACTCAAGAACACACAGACATAGCTGAGCACCGGTGGCTCACGCCTGTAATCCTAGCTGCTCAGGAGGCTGAGATCTGAGGATTGCAGTTCAAAGCCAGCCCGGGCAGGAAAGGCCATGAAACTCTTATTGCAATAAACCACCAGAAAACAGGAAGTGGCGCTGTGACTCAAGTGATAGAGCGTTAGCCTTGAGCTGAATTGCTGAGGGACAGCGCCCAGGCCCAGAGTTCAAGCCCCATGATGGACAAAACAAAAAAACAACGAAGAACACACAGACAGGAAAACAAGAAAACAGAATCACCCTTAACACAGTTAACAAGTACTGAAGGGTGCGATGCCGGGTGCCAGGCAGCGCCCCCAGCCCACCCCAGCAGGCTGGAGCCCGTGTCTGATCTCACCCGGCCCCAGCCCACCCCAGCAGGCTGGAGCCCGTGTCTGATCTCACCCGGCCCCCAGCCCACCCCAGCAGGCTGGAGCCCGTGTCTGATCTCACCCGGCCCC